ATATTAGCATAATCTGGGAGATCATTTCCTTTGAGCCTTCCCATTTCTATTAGAAATAAATGAGGGAGACAACTAGTAGTCTATTTGGGATAAAATGTCGAGGATATGGCAAAGAATAGAATAAAATGAGAATAGAATGATAGGTTTGAGCCATATTGAGGAAATAACATGTCCTGTTAGAGTTGCTATTTTACTCTATAGCTAGTGGGAGCCACTAAAAATTTCTGATCAGAGGACTGGTATGGTTACATCTATACTTTAGGAAGATTATTTGGATGAGTACAGGAATCTCTTCTCTCTCTCTCTGTCTCTCTGTCTCTCTGTCTCTCTGTCTCTCTCTCTCTCTCTCTCTCTCTCACACACACACAAACACACACACATTTTCAAAGATTTAACACAGAGAAGTAGAAAGCCTGCAGAATATAGAACCGTTATAATAAAGCTAAGATATGATTGGATCCAATTTACCAGCAAAGATGTTTTCAAAAATCAACATACACTGTTGAATAAGTTGATGATGCTGCAGTAATATTTGGAACAATTTCCCTATACAGTTCTTGTAACAGGGCACTAAAACATTTGTCTCATCAAGGGGGAGGGCCAATGGAAATGCTTTCCCCTGGGTTTGCCTACATTTGGTCTATGCTCTAGGCACACTGCTGTCTATACAGTATTATGCGATAGAATATCCAGATATATGCATATTCGTAAAAGCAAATGGAAACTGGCACTTATGACTCATGATTCTTTAGTGTCCCAGTTATTATTTACTAATCTTGGTAAAACATAATTTTCTTTTTAGGTCTAGGAGCTAAAATAAGTATGTGTTTTCTATTCCAGGGAATATAGAGATAGCTGATCTCCAGGGTTAGGGATATTTTATTTTCTTTTTCATACTGTTTTCTTAAACTTTAAGTGTTTTATAGTTGTATATCATTTTTGAGCTATCAAAGAAGGGTTGTTGTTATTGTTGTTTTTCTTTTGATCTTTTCAAAGACTCTAGGAAGTAAGTAGGACAGGTGTTTTTGTCCTCATTTTACAAATAGAAGTGCTGAGGCCTAGAGACATTGTTACCCCGCCCTTGTCTTGCAAGTGTTTATTTACAGTATCCCTTCCACATCACGACTGTCCCCATTGTGGTTTTTGTATATTGTGGGTTGGCATAAGAAATTAAATGAGAATTTTTTGAGAGTTTTGTGGAAGCTGCAGATGACTGCAAGGGCCAATAGATAACACAAAACCTATGACCAAATACTTAATCTAAATTTTACAGTAAGGTACTGTAAATACCCTATAAAAGAAAAAGAGAAAAAATAATCAGACTTTTTCTCTGGTAGGAAGGGAGAGCCAACACATTTTGCCTGATTTTCCAGGTCACGGGGGCACCTGCCCTTAACCATGTAATGTGGAAGGGATAACTGAAATTATAGTAATATTAAAATAAACATAAAGGACAACCTTAAAGATGATAAGAAGTGACCAAAGACCTACCTGAAGTGTCCTCGTATAAGGGGCTGTAGTATCGATATTTAGCGGGGTTACATCCTCTCCCCTAACATTTTTGTTGTTCAGTTATTTTAAGTCACATCTGACTCTTCATGGCCCCATTTGGATTATTGTTGGTAAAGACACTAGAATAGTTTTTCATTTCCTTCTCCAGCTCATTTTACAGATGAGGAAACTGAGGCAAACAGAGTTAAGTGAGCTTGCCTAAGGTCACACAGATAGTAAATATCTAAAGCCAAATTTCAACTCAGGTCTTCCTAACTCCAGACCTGGTGCTCTATCCACTGCAGTCACCTAGCTGACTTAACATGTCTCCTTTAACATGTCTCTCCTTATTTCCAATCTGATATCTCAATCAAGCTCAAGATCTCCAGAAATGTGGAGTCTAGGGCAATGGGCTGGATTCTCAGTTTTCTGGGGGCAACTCTGATTCAGCATTGGCTTCTTGGAGATGGGGAAAACACGAACAGACACGGGGATTCCAAAAGATGGGGTGGGATGCTACAGTCAAATATTGTCTATGTCACAGTTTTTGTTACTACTAATCCTGGTTAAACAATCAAGGAATATCATTTAGAAGGAACATCAAATGTCATCCAATTCAACTTCTACCTAAATGAGGGTCTCTCCTATAGCATCCCCCACAAGTATTAGCCCCATAAACCCCAGGTGCTAAGATTGCTACTTAGAACTCTGAAAACTACTCCCTCTCTCGGCAGATTATTTTACGTTGGGACAGTTCTAATTGTTAAGATTCTGTCCTAAGTACTCATTCATTGATCCTAGTTCCACTGTCTGGGACCAAGAAGCAAAATCTTGCTGAAGGACTTTCTCCAAGTCCTTCAAATCCTTTACTACATCTATCATGCTCCTTACAAGTCCACTCTTTTCCAGGCTAAAAAATGCTAGTTTCATCAATGAATCCTGAAATAGCATGAATTTGAGGCTCCTTACTATCCTGGTCCCTTTCCTCTAGATACTTCCCTGCTTAAAAATATCCTTTCTAAATTGCAGCACCCTAAATTTCAGATAATACTCCTGATGTGGTCTGATCAGGAGAGAGAACAGTTGGACTCTGATTTCACTAATTCTGGATGGAATAATTTCCATTGCAACATGAGATTGCATTGGTATTTGAGGTTCCTGATATCAGATGACTGAATCACATTGAATTTACAGTCTATTAAAACAACCCTTTCTTTTCCACATGAACTATTTATTGGAAAGTTGATTTTTGACTCTCTGCATTGGAATCCACTTTTATCCTTTTAAATTCCATTAGATCTTTTATATTTAGCCCACTATTCTAGACTATCAAGATCTTTTTAGATCTTGACTATTTTTATCATCCTGTGTGTCACCTATACTACCCATTTTGTAGTTGAGCTGCATAGAAGAGCAGGCCCAGGTAACCCAGTTGCATAAATGGCCCAGTGAAGACAGAGATTCCAGGGTAGAGCAATATGAGGTCACCACAAGAAGAGAAAGGATATGAGCCTTGCAGTACAGAGGCATGAATCATTTTGTTCATGTATGTTTATACATGTTCACTAAATATGTAGACTCTATTACCAATGTTCTGCAAGTTTGTTCCCACTCTTCACTCTAAAGCACACCCAATGCTTATGGAAGTAATGTTTAAAAGCTACTGTTATTGCCATGCCATTTTAGTAAATTCTTTTTGTTTAAATTAATTGTATCTTGTGACTATTAAAGGGAAGCATATTGGAAGTCTGTGAGCTGTAGTTTCAGAAGTGTGGACCTAGAAAATATCTGGAACCCTTGGGTGGTAGTCCTTGGGCAACTCCTCTAGAGTTCAAATCTATAGTCTGTGAGTGCCAAAATGAGAAGTCCAAGTGGGATACTACATTGGCAATTTATAGCTCCATCATTGTCTATTATTTCAAGTCTATTAGTCCCATGATAAAGAAGAAAAACAAGGCTAATCTGATTAAACTATTCTGCTTATTTGTGATTGTGATCACCTTTTGTTTCTTCAATAATGCCTTATAGGATTTTGCCAGGAACTGAAGTCAAGATTACTTGCCAATCAATAGTTTACAGATTTTACTCCCTTTAAAAAAATCAGGATATTTGACTTTTTTTAGTCATATAGCTTCTCACCCATTCCCCATGATCTTTTAAAGATCACATCAACTCAACCAATAGGATATCATGTATATCCTTAATAAAAGGATTTGTTCTGTGAAATTTAGATTCAGTTAAAGGGTTGCACTTGACGACCTAGAGGACCACATCTGGCCTCGAGGCCACAGGTTCCTCATCCCTGAATACTAACATGTCTGGTATAGTTGTCTTTATTATCTCAAATTTATACAGACCTTTATGATTTACATATATTATCTCAATGATCCTTGCAAAAGCCCTGTGAGGTAGCTAGTGTAACTATGAGGAAGTGAAGGTTCATACTTTTACAGATACAGAAATTAAGGCTCAAAGAGGAAAAAAAATTATAATAGCTAGCATTTATATGGCTCTTTAAGGCTTGCAAAGTGCTTTACATATGTGGGTGTGTGTGTGTGCAATTTCATACAATCTCCATAATAGATGTATTAGGTAAGCGTGATTATTATCCTCATTTTACAGATGAGAAAACTGAGTTTGAGAGACCTCAGTTAAGTGACTCATACAGTATTACATAACTAGTAAGGATTATGAGACAGGATTTAAGTCTAGGTCTTTCTGACTCAAAGACCAGAACTGTATCATCCACTGTGCCACTCAGTTGCCTGGGTAAATGACTTGCCCATGGTCATATGGCTATGTGACAGATCCAGGAACCACACTCATGTCTTTGGATTCCCAAACCAATGCCTCTGCTTTCCATTTTTCTGGTTCCTCTTAATTATACACTCATGCAATGACTATGACTTACTAGCTTAGTTGAAAAGGAGCATCAAGATGCTTTCAGATGGTTTTACCAGTGTCCTAGTACACAAATAAAAGTTGCAGGAAAGAAAAAAAAACAATGCAACACTGTGGCTTCAGTTATATGAGAATTGAGGCAATTATATAGATTACTTAAAAAAAAAAAGGCCTACCTCAAATTACTCTTGCCATAATTATTCACAATATTGAAGACAGAAAACCTTTGGAGAGTTAGAACTACCTGGATAATAGACTCAACTCTCCAATAGATTTTGCTAGTATTTACCTAGGCTTTGTCACAATTTATAGTTAAGGATTTTGAATTGCTATTTAAAAAAACGTAAAAATAAACTCATTGGGGAATTTTATGGCAGGATTACTTCTATGAAATAATTTGCTCCCTATCTCATTGTTCCCCAGTGTGGCAGATTATGACAGACAGCTCATTCTAGTGCATGGCAGGGATGATAATGTTAAGAGAAATAACATATTCTCATGTTTACTCATTTATATTTCATATTACCATACACACTTTGGCAGTTAATGTCTATAAACCAAGGATATGAGAACATTCCTTTTCTTTACTATCTAAAAGTCGTGTTTACCTTCACAAGCTGACACTTTAACTTTGTCAAGGCTCTTCTTTTTTGTTTCCTTCCTTTTCAGGCCCAATCCATAAGCTTCTGCTGACTCCTGAGGACTGAACAAGAGATCTATAAGTTCACTTAACAAGGTGACTTCTTTATGAAATGTCTGCTCCTTTGCTTTCTGCAGTACAGCATATAATTTTTTAGGATCCACCAAAACTTGGGAGTATTTCTCTGGATTCTTAGGATCAGTAACCAAAGGCTCTTTGTTTTTATTCTGGAAAGATAAAAATAGGGAACAAAAGTGAATAAGATAATGCCACACTTTTAGGATATTCACATGCTAGCATAGGTTCTCATACAGAGGTAGTATATAGTAGAATCTCTGGATTTTATTGATCCAAATACAGGTCTCATTTGCTTATTTCATTTCCAAAGAAATTTTGACCTATAACCATACTCTTTGTACAAGTGAGACAAGATAGTGGGCTAGAAAAAGACATCACTATCTTTGGCGTCATACCAGCTCCCCAGTCCCTCCATGCTAGGAAGAGAAAAATCTGTCGAAGTTCCAGGGAAAAATCCTGTCTGTCATCAAAACATAGTAGTAGTAGTAGGCAATTTTTCATTGATCCAGAGGAGGAAGGGAATGGACATCTTTAGCTTTAGTCCTCGGAGAGCATGGATTTCAATCTAAGATGAGTGTTGGGGGGATGAGATATAGAGATGACATAGGGAGAGAGGTGAAGTTTGTGATTACTCCATTGGCCACTCATTGCAGTAGCTAGGCTTAGAGTCAGGAAGACATGGGTTCAAATCTTGCCTCTGCTACTTAACTAGCTACATTAGCATGGGTAAGTCCTTGACTTCTCTAAGCCGCAGTTTCCTTATCTGCAAAATAAGAATACTAATACCTGTGGGCACTTACTTCAAAAGGTTGTTGTGAAGCTCAAAAGAGATTTATATCAGTAAAACATTTTTCAAATTTTAAAATTCTATATAAATGACTAGTATGTTTTGGTGGAGATGGCAAGGCAGAGAATGAAAATTCGATAGAACTATTGAAAGGAAAGGGGAAAGGAGGAAAATAAGTATGACCGTTTGTTGTACTTCACCTTTGTCATGTTGTGAGTGGGGGAAGGTGAGAGGGAAGGAACATCAGAGGGCGGGCAAAATCCATGAGTCTTTTCTTTCCAAAAGCACATCTCCTACTGCTCATCTCTTGGCACAACACACTTTTAACCAATAAATCTAGTTAGAATGTTCCTGGGGTGTGGCATACACAGCCAGGAAATATAAATGGCAGAGTAATGTCAAAGAAGGGTCCTTACCTATCACAACACATAAGAAATATTTACTTTTTAGAAAAAATAAGATCTTTTTCCCCTCTTCCCAATACACATAGGGATGGAAAACCTATGGCCTCGAGGTTACATGTGGCCCTCTAGGTCCTCAATTGCAGCCCCAAAGGGCAGGTTCTCCATCCTTGCATGCTTATACGTAATCATTTTATGTAATGTCATTGTATATACCTACATGTTTTCCTTTCAAAGACACCTCGTTTTTAGTAGTGTGTACACTATCCTGAGTCAACCTGTATTCAAACACTAGTGAAACATAATATAATATTCATCTGGTGATGATTTCCTATTTATCCTATAGATAGCTTGTTTGAACATATCCTATGCACACACACACACACACACACACACACACACACACACACACACATATACTTTTTTACATGTTGTCTCCCCATTAGACAGTAAAGTCTTTGGGAGCAGGTAATTTCTTTTGCCTTTATTGTATCCCTAGCACTTAGCACAGTGCCTGGAACATTATAGGTACTTAATAAATGTTGACTGACTAAGTGAATTTATTTGCATAGCATAAATATTGTCTTTTGTGTACGTCTTTTATGCCTTACTAATAGCATAGCAGGTGTGTGATGAAAGCGAAAGCTCACTGATCTGGGAGTCATAGGACCTGAGGCTCTGCGACCTACTACCTGTGCACCTGTTGGCAAATTATTTAATTTCTAGGGACTTTGGTTTCCTCATCTGAAAAACTAATGGAGTTGCACTAAATAAATTTTAAGTTCTCTCTCATTTTAAGATACATAGTTATCCCTTCCACATCATGAGGGTTGGGGGAGCCGATGACCCCACAATCTGGAAAATCTGAATAAAATTTTTTGGCCCTCCCTTCATACCAGAGAAGAAGTCTGAATTTTTTTCTTTTTGTTTTATGTGGTGTTCAAAGTACTTTATTGTAAAATGCAGGTTAAATATTTGGTCATAGACTGTGTCATCTGCCAGCCTTCTAGTGTAGTCTGTAGCTAACGCAAAACTCTTCAAAAATTCTCACTTAATTTCTTAGGTTGACCCGTGATATATTGAAACCCTGATGGGGAAAGTCGTCATGTGGAAGGAATAACTGTAATCCTATTATTTATTACTGACTGTGTGCTCCTTGAAAACAGAAACTACCTCTTTCTTAGTTTTCATTTTACATGCTATCTCTTCCATTAAAATATTAAGTTCCTTGAAGGCAAACACCATGCTTTTACCTTTCTCCGTATCCTCAGTGATTAGCACAGTGCCTGGCACATAGTAAATACTTAATAAGTGCTTGATGACTAATTATAATACCACATGCACTTAAAAGGCATTTGATAAGTAACCAGTTGCATCTAGTATAGTGTTCAGCACATTCCAGTATCAGCCTAGCATTCAGGATACTAGCACAGTGTGAAGCCAATACTAAGTACTCAACAAGTATTTAATGAAACGAATTGAAAGGAAAGCTGAAAATCACCACCACTATATCTAGATCACATTGTGACAAGGGTAAATGTTCCCATGAAAGAAGCATCTTCCACATTTTCACTTGGATAGATATAACCAATATCTGTCCATGGGTAAGGAATACCAAAATTTGAATTATCTGAGGAATCCTAAATATAAAAGCATAATGCACAGAACTTAGGACAGTCTCTGGCATATAATAAGTGTTTAATAAATGCTTGTTGATGGACTGTTACTATGCATAAAAGAATATATTTTGGTTTGCTGTCACCTTTAGCCATCATGTTTCCTATAGGTACAGAGGTATTTTACATGTTTCCAATGTTTATTATATTTTTAAAGTGAAAATATGCATTACAAACCTGGAGCACCCAGTGGAGTGTATATTTTCAAATATTTATAAACAAGCCAGAAATGGCATCCACCTGAAAATTTTCCACTCCTTGCCTGCAGCTAATATTTTTTCCAACTCAGGTCCCAGAGATGTACAATTGCAAGCTAAACAAAGCCGAGACAAACAGATGTGTCATCCACCAAATCCTGGACCCATGAGAGTTGGTGCCTGGCTGACCACAACAAGGAGCAAATTCCATTGGTGAGTCATGGCAGCCTCCAGGAATATGGTGCAAAGGATGGATTGGATGAAGAAAAGACAGGAGAAAAGGCTGCTCTCAGGGAAAAGGCAATATGAGGAAGACAATTGCATGAATAATAAAACCCAAGGGCTACTCTTGCCCAAAATACTCAGATAATTGAGGTAAAATGTAAATTTAATTTTTTTTTACGATTATCTAGACAATTCTCTAAACATTCAACTTTATTCTGCAAATAGAGCCATATATATATATATATATATATTTACACACACACACACACACACAAACACACATATATATATATATATATATTTATCCCAGCAAACCATTTTATATATATACATATATATAAAATGGTTTGCTGGGATAAATATATAGAGAGCTTATATTTTTCTTTTTTTCTTGGCAGTGCAGAGAAATGTCCCCTTTACAATGTGAAGGAAGGTCAGTGAAGGGTGATATAGAGGAAAGAACACTGACTCTGGAATCACAGAACCTGCATTCAAATCCTCTTTCTGATGATTACTAACTATGTGACCACTTACCTCCCTAAGCTTCAGTTTCCTCATCCATAAAATGGGAGGTTTGGACTAATGATTTCTGAGGTTCCTTAAGAGTTAGCTGGGTAGTCCAATAGAGCACTGAGTATGGAGTCTGGAAGACTCAAATCCAGCCTCAGACTCTTACTGGCTGTGTGATCCTGGACACTTAACCTCTTTGTCTCAGTTTTCTCAATTGCAAATACTTATCACCTCTCAGAGTTGTCGTGAAGATCAAATGAGATGATATTTGTAAAGTACTTATAACATGCTAGGCATTTAATAAATGCTTGTTTCCTTCCTTCCTTCCTTCCTTCTTTCCTTCCTTCCTTCCTCACTTCCTCCCTCACTTCCTCCCTTACTTCCTCTTTTCCTCCTTTCCTGCTTTCCTTCTTTCCTTCCTTTCTCCTTCACTCCCTTCTTTCCTTATCTGTACCTGTCTTCTTTCCTTTCTTCCTTTCTTTCTTCCTTCCTTCCTCTTTTCCTTCCTTCCTTCTAGTTCTAGATCGTGTCCTAAATCTAAAAAAGAGAGAATAGTCCTAAATACATTGAGGGACCAGAATGCAGATAATCATAACTGTAACAAGACCAAGAGGATCTTGGTAGAGATGGACTGTTGAGGAAACAAAAGGGAAAGGCAGAGAGAAGCAGGATTTACAGTATGGCATATACCTGTACTCACTCCTCTATACCTGTATGTCATGTAAACTAAATATGAATATAAGCTATTTTTATAATAACCACTAAACAAAAGTTTACAAACTCTATGTGATAGCTAGATGGCATTAGGGATAGAATACTGCACTTGGAGTCAGGAAGAGTGTTGGTCCTGTCTAAGACACTTAATACTGTGTGACCCTGGGCAAGTCATTTAATCTCTCTTAGCCTCATTTTCCTCATCCATAAAATGGGGATAACAATAGTACCTATACTTCCAATGGCTGTTATGAGGATCAAATGTATATAAAGTGCTTAGAAAACCACATAGGGCTATATGTTAGCTATCATAATTGTTGTTATTTTATGTACCATAAATGCTATTAGATGAGAATGTTTTAATAGATAAATCACAAGTCTTTGAAAAGTTTGCTTCTGTATGGGAAAGAACCACAAGTAACTTGAATATTCTAGAATATATAGGAGATACAGCTCCTGTGGTCTGTCCTGGTGAGACCTAGAATATTGAATGTAGTTCTGGAAAAAAAAATCATTGAGATGGAGAGTGTCCAGAGGAGAGTGCTGGGGTAGGCATAAAGTTTAGATCAGGCCATGGGCCAACCTTCCTAGAGTTCATGGTCTAGTACAAGGATAAGACCATACACAGATAAAATCATT